AAACTACCAGGTACGTAGAGAGCAGTTAAAGAACAAAAACAGGGTTTCTTTTCATTTGGGACACTCATTTAAGCTAATTTTTCATTGATAAGAAAATGCGTAGTCAATCCTTTCATACTACCCTTACCAAAAGATGATTGAATCTCTTTTGCGAGTATCAGCTCATAATCCAAATTTAAGGGAAATATATTACGTTGAAATTTTTACTCATAGTTAAAATGTTTATCAGTGGGTTGGAAATTTAGGGTAGTCCCAGATTTCTTTCAGGTTTTCCTTTCTTATTATAGTTTGTATAAATATTGACTCACTCTAGAAATGAGTTATGGGTAGGAGGGATTTTTTTTTTTAAGCTATATAACTCCACATTCCAGAAACACCTCATTCCTGTTGATGAATGGCTATTGGCATACAGAAATCTGGCATGTGGTTTAGGAGAAGGGATACAGCAGACATGAGAAAAGCTTGAGAAGGCAGCCCTAATCCCCCTTCAAATTTACTGCTTGTTAGAGGAGCTAAAATGATTAAGCAGCCCAAGGTTTTGATATATGAGGAAAGATAAAAAGAATTTCATGTGTGTTGGTGGACTGAAGAGCTAAGGAGTGTATGTGCCTGTGTGGGGGTGGGGGCCTGATAGCCATTTGCAGATAATTGAAGGTATGAACCCCAAATAAGGAGAGGGATTATGAAGGTGCTCTTTAGGGGACTCTCTAATGGTAATAAATGAAAAAAAAAAAAAAAAAAGAAAGAAAAGAAAAAAATGGTTTCATCAGGGAGACTTTCATAATGGGTGAGATTTAAGAGGCCATTAAATAATCTCCCATGAGAGGTCTTGAAATTCCCATCTCTTGAGTCATTTGGAGGAGGCCTATAAAGTTTTGGAAGTGTATAATGCTGCCCTGGTATAGGAACAGATTTGGTAATCAAGATCATCCTTTGTCCTGATATTTTACAGCTCAATTTCTAAGAAGAATCAATCAATAAACAATAAATCTGGAAACTCTCCAGGGGGTGGGGGGAGAAAGAAAAGAAAAAGGATGAGGAACTGCACCAGTATCAACCACCTTGTGTTTAATCAGCTGATTGTGAAGGAAAAGGGAGCTTCTACCTCTCACTCATAAGCTTTTTGAACAATTGGCAAAAGGACCCTTGACTTGCAAAACTGGACCTCAGGACAGGGGTGATAAACAGGAAGCTAATAGTGTGGTCCAGAGAAGCAGGGAGAGAAATAGGAGATGGTTTCTGATTCCCTTTGGGTAATTTTGGATTCTGGAGGAGGCCTGTGA